AGCCACCTCCTGCACTGGCCCCAGCGCCACGTTTTACACATCCACCCTTCTGTCAGCGCAGCAGCTGGCAAAGGACAACTGATGTTCTCTGGCTCTCTGCTGACACCTAACTACTTCTCCATCAAATTCCCAATATGAATTTTTCCCGTGCTTCCCAATTTGTCCAGTGCTGCTGACTGTTGGTAGTAAAGGGACAGTGAGTGTCACCGCAGCCGCAGGCAGGCCACGGGCTCCATCTGCCACCTGTTGCAGAGACATCGATGTGTGACAAATCTGAGCAATTCATTACATAATAAAACTTTATATCTGAAGGCCAGATTCCCCTCCAAGCATGCACTCTGCTCTATTTTCTGTATATGAACTATCCATAAACTGCCAGCTCAGCCCACAGATGAGTAAAATTTAGCTTATACAATAGCAGATGCCAGGGCTTTTTAATTTTTTTATAATTTTTTTAGGGCTCTCACAACAGTGTAATGTAATGTAGAGACAAATTACTGTCATGCTAAATCTGCTTTCTGATCCCACCCCCCCACTGCACATTCCTCAAATAAATTGACAATTATTATTTCAGTAAAATGGTGATGTTACATACGCCTCTGTGTACACAGTGGGATAACAAATCTGAATTATTTCTAGATGCTGTGATGCAGACGAATGTTTAAAAGTTAACTCTCAGTCACCCTTAAGTTTTTACTAAACTCTTAGTTTACTCAGCAGCTGCACTTTCCTGAACCTGCCCACTGCCTTATAAAGCTATTTATTGTATCAGACTCCAGGACATGAATTAAATGTCTTTTCCTGTAATTTACATTCCAGTCTTTAAAAAAGGCCATAGGAGAGGTTTTTTTAATCTGTAACCAAGTGATCATCACTGCCCAAAACCTCAGAGTGAGGCTACACTCAGGTCCATCATCTTTCAGGAAAAGCATAAAACCAAACTCATCAGAATCCACCCAAATTCTTAAAAAATGTCACTTTTCCCTAATTCTACTCACCTACACTGAAAAGACACGTGTTTACAGAGCTGCTCCTTACAAATATCCATTCAATAATTTAAAATGCTTCCATCCTTACTCTGCTTTGTTTGTTCTTATTGCTGTATGATGTTAAATTAACATTTCCTTTCAACATAGATTGCAAAACAATGTATGTGTGGCCGAAGAAGAGCGGAGCATCTTCCCAGATAAAAGGCCACAGAAATACAACACAACGCTGTCATCTGAAAAAGTGCATAATTTTAACAGAACTGAGTGGCTGGCAACCCATAAAGTTCTGTGGCTTCTTCCCATAGTCACTTTAGCAAAGAATACACACGTTATCCCAGGCAAACAAGAGGAGGTATTTACTGGAGGGTGCATGTTTCAGCACCTCATAAAAAGATGTAATCACTCATAATTCAAGTCTGGGTACAATTTTCCAAGCTACTCTAATTAAAACTGATTTGCTTACAGCAGAAGGGAAAACAAGGAATTTTTCCAAGCTATTTGCTAAAAACAACTCCTGGGGCAGATTTTCAGGCACATTTAGATGCCTAAAGACACCTACTGGCATCTTCCATCGTTAGGTGCCGGAGTGCTATTAAGACCCAGACAGCTATTGGCATTGCTGAGCAATTAAATGCCTCCAAAGTCCAGCCCTCCATCCAGCACATGTTGGAGAAATTCCATCACCCACATACTTGCATATAAAAATGTTCCATAACAGCTTATGAACAACACCATAAAACGCACTGAAGTACCAGTTACACTGGGCCATAAGTTACCGAGTAGGACTATGGGAGGGAAAGA